GTTGCTCAGCTTGCCCCGAGCAGTTATTGTCGTGAGCGGAATTTTGCCCCAAAAACATGCAGGGCAGCCTGAGCACCCGGGAGTGGTAAGTCATTGCTCAGGAGTGGAGTAGCTTGGTCGTGGTTGTTCAGCAAGGGATTCTCCAATACCAGGGGTGCTAGTACCCTCCGGGTGTAGTATTACATTTAATCCCGCTACCATGTTGACGGGGGGATTCGTTCTCCTGCACTTACCAGACGAAACCCAGAAGCAGCTCTTCCACTTCACGCCAGTATTCTGTGAGGTCGTGGTACCACCCCGGCTTAAGCCGGCACATATATGTAACAGTCGAAGTTGCTGCCATTGTTAACACCACACAAGAATACACGTTCACTCGATGAAATATTCGACTCGACTGAGTGAGCGACGAGCGTGGCGAGGCGACAAGGCGAACTAATGCGGTCGGCCGAGCGTGTAAGCGGGAAATGAAGTTGCGACTCGTCGCGACGGCGCGCCGCGTGCTCCACGCGGCGGCGACGCGTCGACATGAACTCACGGCGACAGCGATGCGGCGGCGCGGCGCTCATATCTAGTTTGAACTCGGCGGCCAGATATTTACTGTCACAGATTGCGTTCTCACTGAAAAAAAGATATACTCACGAAAGTTTACGACATAATTGTATAAAAATTTAACATATGAACAAGTAGATATAGTGTGAAAGCAGAAATGCGAATCATAGCAATTTTCTCGATAAATAATCATAAAGATGACACTTAATCTCTATTTAAACGTGTACCTTGCAGAGATTTCACGAAACCGTGGAAAACACGGAATATAAAAAAATAAGAGGAAGTCCCAAAAACATAGATATAAGAAAGATATGTATATCTCCTATATACCCGCTACGCTAGTTGAAAATGTGTCGGAACCCAGTGTCTCCAGTTGGCCCCTACCATGCGCCAACTACTACTACTACACATCCAAATCAGAAACAGAATAAATTAAAAGTAAATTTTTTTTTAAACAAGCTTTTATTTAAATGCGTTAAAAAGAACTTTACTTTAACTTTTCCTTTGAAACTTTTACTATCAACTTATAACATTACACAATTAATATGATATAAATGCTTGTCGCCAGATTTAAGTTTCTACTCATTTCTACTTACTCGTATTTACTTAGTTTGAAAAATTTAAAAATTAAAATCAATCAGATCCTGTTTATCTCCACAAGTAAATCTCGCGACAAGCTTTCATATCATATTAATTGTGTAATGACGTTATTAGTTGATAGTAAAAGTTTTAAAGGAAAAGTTTATTTTATTCTTTTTAGTGCATTTAAATAAAAGCTTGTTTTAAAAAAAGTTTTTTTACTTATAATTTATTTTTACTTTTTAGTTATCGCTAGACAGGTTTCTCAGTCTGATCATCTTGTTCAACGCATCATTGTTGCAATGTCGTTTGTCGGTTAATTTCGAACAGTCTAGCTCTTCAATAAGGAGAACTTCTAATGATTTTACCCTACTTAAGGCCACGTATGCTTGACCAGCAGCGAAGAGCTTCGAACCTAAGTATACAACGGCATGGTCGAGAGTACTACCTTGTATTCTGTGTACTGTGCAAGCCCAACATAATACAATTGGCAGCATTCTTCGTTCTGCAGACTATATTTTGCTAGAAATTGTACAGTCTTGGGTGTATGGAGATGAACACCGTCTTTACCGAAGTCTTTATATGGATAATATATAGACTTATATATATGGACGAATGGTATGTCACTATCATACATTAGTGCTCTCTGGAAGCAGGGCCATATGATTTCTGTAATATGTCCAATGGCACCAGTCACCAGACCTTTGGACAGTCAAAATTTACCAACCAATGCTACAGACTCGAGCAATTCGACCTCAATATCATATTCGAGGACTCCGAAAACCCTATTACACTAACATTTCAGACGGATTGACATCGTGTTACACCCTGATGCCACTCAGTCCTCGGCACGGCCTCACCTTGACTCGGGTGTTTGGAGGAATGTACTACTTATTTCAGCTTGAAGCTTACTTGTGCCTTACGAAACACAGTTCCAGGTTTACAGGTTTGATTTTGGAGTTACCCTTCGCCTAGCCAGATTGCAAACCAATGCTGTTGACGCCTATCTCGCCAAATTGCACAAGTCAAAGTTAACCAACCGATACTACAGACTCGAACAGTACAACAGTACACTAAAATTTCAGGCGGATTGGAGCAACGAATTTATGATTACCATCTTATTTTTGGTTACCTCGCATTCGTATTCTCAGCAAGTCCTTTCATTTCACACCCATATTGTAGGAAAGTATAAAAAACTTAGTCCGCCATATTTAGAAGTCCGCGATATTGGATTTAGAGTGGCGTCACTTTATTTTTCGAGTTACACTAAGCAAGCCCTTTCATTTGATACCCATATTGTAGGAGTGCATTAAAAATAACTAGTCTGCCATTTTCGGTGTTCCACCATGTTGGATTTAGAATGACGTCACACAACTAACCATGCATTGTCATCCAAACTTAACGTGTATACAAAATTTCAGCTCAATTGATTTCAGATATCTGCTTCAAAATTGAGTTGCAAGATTCCACCCGAACAAACATCGTTACATTGCAAGTTAAATAAAAGCTTGAAAGCAATAGATACGCAGTCACGCACACATCCGCATTTTATAAAACAGAACTACACAATCAATTATAAACCTTATCCCTAAAAATACAGTATGCATTTACCATGTACTGTACTATATCTTACTCCTATAGCTATAGATAGCCTACGTAAGTGGATTTGCACAAGCACATTACCACAAGATACAGCGGCCGTACTAAGCGATACATCCGCATAAAAAAAAGGTATTGTTTTGTGATATTTACATTGCTTGTTGAGTCATATTGCGATACACTTAGGTAGTGGTTAAGGAGCAATGTATTTACTTCAAAAATAGTACAGTCGCTGTAATATTTGAAAACAGTAAGAGCAAGAAATATTTTACGATTTGTTGTTTTTCATGATTTTAAACAAATATAGTAAAATAGGTTTTTACAAGAAACCACTGAACAACACAGCATTCTGATAATGTTTCACGATGAAGTTCGAAAGCGCACTACTTCGAGGAGACGGCCATTTGCATAGAAATAGCATTTTGATCATAGCGCACGGATACAGACACACCCCCTTGCCACTTCTGTTTTTTATATTTCTATGAGCAAAAAGCATAATTTGTATCAGAACCACTGTCGCAAAACTCACACATACGCAGGAAAAACATTTGTTTTTAAAAATTTGTTTTAAACAACAATAGTGCATCATTTCAATAATTTTCGTGTGACTGGCTATTAAAAAATAAAACAACACACCATTCACTTGAATACGAACCATGAAGTCTTAAAAATAGAGCTCATATTATTTTTCATCGAAGAAGTTTCTAGAATTAATGATCAAATTTAGCGTCTTAACGGTAGATGTCGCAGTAATACCGCCATTATTTGAAAAACCACCACAAATTCTTACTAAATTCATATCATTATGACATTTTTACACACATTAGATTAGATTTTAGACACATTAATCCAAAAAGCGTTGACGAAAAAAGTAGATGTCGCAATAATAAATTCACGCTATTAGTTAGTCGGGCTAAAACTAAATAATTTTTGTATGTTTGAATGGGTCCGTGAATGTTTTAGATTCACAATTGGACCCGGTAGGTGGCGCTGTTGTTGAGATCCAGAAAACAGCCGTGCGAAGCCGCGGCGCATCTCTAGTATATAATAAAATGAGTAAAATAGCAAAATTTATTGGAAATTGCCTTGATTGAAATCAATGCTTAGGTACTTACTTCTTTGGCTTATCAACCCTAACAAATGGTAATTCATATAGTATCATACTATAATTTCGTATATTTTCATAGACATCCAGTATTTGCATATTTTCATTAATATGTTATTAGTGAATAAACAGGACCGAGATAAAATTTTATCGAAAACTTTAATATCGATGTAGTCACAACACTATAGTAGCTATTTTTATTATTTTTTGCACGGAACCCTAATCCTTTTTCTAAAATAAAAGTAGCCGAAATTATTTCTTATAATATCAGCTACCCGCCAGTAAAAGTCCGGTCAAAATCGGTTCAGCCGTTTCGGAGATTAGCCGGAACAAACAGACAGACAGACAGAAAGACAAACAGACAAAAATTAAAAATCGTGTTTTTGTTATAAGTACCGTATATACTTTCATATGCATATAGTAGTATAGCTGTTATTTCTACATTACAAACAGACACTTCAATTTTATTTATTTGTATAGATTGCATACTGTAGTACATACTGTAGTACCGATACCAAAACCACCAAAACCAATAGAACCCAATTCTTGGATAGATAAATTCGGAATCAAATTGTAGAATTCGTTATTGCGATTAATTTGTTGTTTATTTGCAATATGATACACTACACATAGTGTATAGTTTGCCCAATTCGTTGCTTGGTTTGTTTGTGGGTCCGTTCGTTAGTTCGTTCGTTATTTTGTTTGATTGACTGACTAACTGAACGTTTTTATCCAAATAAGTGTATTTTTAGGTGTTCGTGGTAATTCAAAGTACATCATCAATTTAAAGTACAATTAAAACATCATTCCATATCAGGCGTCAGCACAAAAATATAAATTGTTTAAAGAAATTAAGATATTCATCCTGTTAAAACTAGGAACAGGAAAACACAGTATGTAGTATCCTCAGCAATTTGTGACTTTGTTTCTGTAATTGTGAGCGTTTTTCCGGAATAATTCTCGGAATTTCGGCAGGTTCGGCAATTCTAGTGATAATTATTGTGTTTATAATAAATATAGTCTCGATACAAATGAAGCAGATGTTCGGAGTGAGCGAGTATATAAAGATTTGCTCTCAATTATCGCTTCATTAGTATTGACAACTACTTTGAACGTGTTAAATATAATATTTATTATTGTTTAGTCACATTAAAATTCCATCTTCAATATGATATTTAAATTCGGTAAGTTAATTTATCTAATAAATACCTTACCGCGGGCATAAGTAAAGTCAATTTTTACTTCATAATTAAAGTAATAAACAACCTTCATACCACTTCATACTGTTTTCAAATATCCTTGAAAAGTTTTAAATTTTTCATCATCATTACCATCATCAGCTCGTAAGAGTCAAATATTGTCACAGTTCTCCCTAATTATAGGGCGGTAAAGACGGATTAATTACTGCCAATATATGAAATACATGGGCGACGACCTATGTTCAGCGGTACTAGACGTTTCGGGTGGCGATGTGAGAGAATCCATCGCTGCATTTCGCCCCATAGGTGCCGTAAGAGACAACTGCGGGATATGGCAAATAAATAGCTAGTAGTATGTAGTCAAATTATTTCACCACGGTATTTACTTCACTGTCGAACACGTGGTAATTGAGCACTTACATTTGCGATTAACGATTTCGATGTGTCAAACTCCGATTGCGCCTGTATTTCTTATTTCCAGTACAGACCCTAAGTTGCTTTGGCTTTTCGATGTGGCAGAGCCACGCTGCAGCTGTATTATAACTGCAGCTCGACGGGGTTAGGACGAAGCTCTCACACAATACCAGCGTAAAACAGTAGCCTAGCGCTGTGTTTCGTATGGTGATTGCAGAGAACCGGAGACTTTTTTTACTGGTAACGAGGCATTTCACCTTAGTCCCCAGAGGTGCAATGCATCTACATTTTGATTCTTAACTGAATATAGATGTAACTATGTCTTGCCACAGCATCCACTTACCATCAGGTAGACTGTAGTTTGTTACTTTAGTTTAAAAAAAAAACATTTGATGGCTCCCAACAGACTGTGAGCTATTCGTATCTTGTATAGGAAATACCAGATACAAAAAATACGCGTCGAGTTCAGCAGCAGCGTCGAAGATCTGATATTGTCAAGTATCCCCATACTTATGGGAAATCATTCCGCTAATCTCTTCATTCCCGTCATTAAGTCGTTATCTTACGCAGTAGAAATATAATTTCGAGAAGTTTCTCGGTACTCTATGATAACCTTTGCAATCAACATTATTGTTTATTAAACCACCGCTTTATCTTTAATTTAAAATTCGTCAGACATTTACAAAATTTGTCATATTTTTTGAATGTGTTATGTAACTGATAATTATAACTAATGTTAATCCATACGTGGTAGAGCCATGCTGCACTATATTAGTAGTATAGTTGCAGCATGGCTCCAATGGAAAACTACAAATAATTAATCTTATTTGTAGTTTTCCATTAAGTATAATATATTTAAAAAAAAAGATTTTTTTTTATAGGATAAGGGTGACAAACGAGCACACAGTCCACCTGATGGTAAGCGGTTGCTGCGGCCCGTAGACATCTACATCTATCCTCTGTTACAAATCAAAATGTAGATGCGTTGTCACCCGTGAGGACTAAGATGGAATGTCTCATTTCCAGTAAAAATTTAAAAAAAGCTAGTAATCGAGGAATAATAAATGTTTTCTTGCTCTCTTGTAATTTTTTGAAAAATTGAGGTTCGCCCCTTTGCAACGTCAACGACGAATTATAATAGGCAATAGGAACAGACTTACGTCCATCATTGGATTGATTACAGGCTGCACTGATGATTCTTCCTAGTCTTTCTTTTTCTTTCTTTACCTTTGCAGTCTATCAAATGTCCACTGCTGAACATAGGCCTCCCACATAGATTGCCTCATTGATTGATATAATTTGTTATTAAAGACGGAGCTGCCCATTCCTTGTTTCATTTCCTTCTGTCGCCTCCTAAGGTACCCACAGGGTGATATTGGGTAGTGGATTTACTTACGCTGCCACTACACGGCTAATGTTTTATACATGGCGGTTTGTTTCCTCTTCCATATATATATATATATATATATATATATATATATATATATGGGGGTTTGTTTCCCTCTGTCGCCTTTTACGATTCCCGCGGGATGATATGGGGTAGTGGATATTTTAACACCGCCACTACACAGTAAACAGTTCTTTTCCATCAGCCCGTAAATGCCTATTCTTACACAAGGGTCTCTCCCTTTGGAGTGAGGATTGGCGAAAATTGTATCAGACGTCTCGCATCTTTGACAATGCTATTCTGTTTTGCCACCATCTATCGGAAGTCGTGAGGTTTTTCTGGTGTTTCCCACAGTCGCCTCTTACGACACCCACGGGACGATGTACGGTGATGGACTATCTTACGCTACCATACGCCTTTCTTTCTCAGACTTTCAGCCTTTAGCTGCACTTTATTTTTGTTATGTGATATTCATTACTCACTTGATCTCATCAACTCTACATGAAAGTAAGGTGTCATCCCTAAATACCAACATGGAATTCCTCACATATGGAAATCCCGCTATTTATCTATATCTATACAAATAAATAAAATTGGAGTGTCTGTTTGTAATGTCAAAATAACAGCTTTTCACTAAATGCATATGAAAGTATATATGGTACTTATAACAAAAACATTTTATTTTTAAAATTTTTGTCTGTCCGTCTGTCTGTCCGTCTGTCTGTTTGTTCCGGCTAATCTCCAAAACGGCTGGACTGATTTTGACGGGAATTTCACTGACAGATAGCTGATGTCATAAGGAGTAACTAAGGCTACTTATATTTTAGAAAAATAATTAGGGTTCCGCGCAACAAAATAAAACCCTAAAATACACGCGGGCGAAGTCGCGGGGTAACAGCTAGTTAGTAATAAATCTGTTTTCCTTTAAACTGTTCAAACGCACTCAGAACACGGACTTTGGACGGACGTTGGCAACGGACTGAATAAATAACGGAGCTCTACTACTTGGAGATATTTATTGATTTTACAATAAGGATTTCGTATTCTCATTCAAATGAATCGCAGTCAAGTTAAGTCAAATGACTTAAAAGAAATTGCCTTTCTTCTTTCATTCATGCATACTCAGACGGATAGATTACTTAATAAATACTAGACTCAGCAGTACAGAAACCTATCCTACCTGTTTGTTGAAGAGCGCTTAAGTATTAGATTTTATACGTGGTAGAGCCATGCTGCAGCTATATTAATTGTATAGTTGATGCACGAATGGGTAGGTAATAGCAGCTTAATACTGCTGTTTATCGTATGGTGAGTGTAGAGAACCGGAGACCCTTTTTACTGTAAAAGAGGCATTCCATCTTAGTCCTCACGGCTGACGACGCATCTTCATTTAGATTCGCAAACGCGGATAGATGTACCTAGATGTCTAAAGGCCACAACATCGACTTAGCATCACGTGGACTGTGTGTTCGCTTGTAACCCTAATGCTATTAAAAAACGTATCAACGATGTATGTAATTTCTCTAAGCGACTATAGTCGTTGTTGGAATAAATAAAAAAAAACGTAATGAATTTTTTTCTAGTTTATAATCTATGACGTCGACGCGCCTGTACACGTCAGTAGTTGAAGCATGTCATGAAATCTTACCATTTGCAATTGCAATTATATAATAATCTTCGGCTACCATTTTACATAATATAGTACTCGGCAGAGTATGATTTTTTTTTATGGTTTCCACCGGAAGGTACACCCCCCACCGGCGGGAGTATATTGTCAATTTTCACAATATTATTCATTTGAGATACGATTTTGCTTACTTTTATAATACGTACATGGAGAAGGCTACATATATCTGAGATTTGATACATAGTATGTTTGCCTTTCCATATATTATATAGTATGTTTTGTTATTAATTTATTACAATGTATATGGTTCGGAAGTAATAAAATTATGGTCAATTTACAAAAATATTTTGTTTCAGTAGTCTCGCGCTTACCGTTTGACATAATCAATTACAATATGAGTTAAACACTAAAAACAAAAGAAAATTTAAATTGAAGAAAACAGAATGTTATCTTAATAAAAGACAATGGTAGAATAACTGGCAGAGTATAATTAAAGCTTATATAATGATCACTACGATTTAATTATGATACGGTCTGTGTTATATAGCGTCAAGGCCTTAGGTCAAGGCTCAGCGACAGATATCAGTTTTATCTTAAGCACTGGAGCCAAATGATAAATGTTGGTTTGGAATTTCGATTAATATCTTCAACCTCTGGTTAATTAATGGAGTAAGTTTATGTAATTATTCTTATTTCAGGTGCACTGTTGTTCATCGCGACGTACCTATCAGTAGCAACAGCGTTACCTCCATGCACCTGCACAAGGGAAGGGAAACCAGTGTGCGGCTCCGACGGACAGACCTACGGCAATTTGTGTATGCTGAACTGCGCACAATCGTTTAACCCAAGTGTGACTCTACAGAGAGTAGGCGCTTGTGATGATAATCCGCTACCAAGTGATGGTGCTTCACAGGTTAACGTTGTGGAAGTCTCCTCCTGTTCATGTCCCCGTGACGCGAAATATGTATGCGGGAGCGACGGCAATACCTACGACAATACTTGCTTACTGAACTGCGCAGGCATTTCTAACCCTGGTCTCCACATTCAGAATGACGGACCCTGTGATAACAGTGTTAAGGTTGTGGAGCACGCGGAGAACGTCACCTGCAACTGCACCAGAAGTTACAAGCCCGTTTGCGCCTCAAACGGCGTCACCTTCGAAAACGAATGCATGATGCATTGCGCTGGTACTCACCTCACTGTTCAGAACCCTGGTCCTTGCGAAAGTAATTAAATATATACATATATTATGTGAAGTATTTTTTGTTTCATTACTTTCGATATGTAAAGCCTAATGGTTTAGGGTATATATGATTTAAAAGTAGGGTCAAATCAAGCCTACCACAAGTAACTTGGCTTCCGATGGCTTGGATTTACAAACAGCAAAATGTCTAATACAATACCTATAAATAATAATAAATAATACGAATCCATCCATCCATCGGTTACAGTCAATGAAAGTCAACTGCTGAACTTAGGTCTCCCCCCATAAATTGCTTCATAGGGGGGATTTTGCCATAGCTTGCAATTTTGGTAGACGGGTTGGCAACCGCAATTTATTATAATTTAGAGATGTAATCAGGAAGATGCTGTTTCTCATCTGTATCAGTTTCGTTCTGTTGCTCCTTATGACACCGAAGGGATAATCTGGAAAGTTCTTACATCGCCATTTCACGGCTTGTAATAATATGTTGTATATTAATTTTAAAAGAATAATAATATTATTAACGTTACTATTATTCCCTTTAACTATGCTTGTGTTAGGAGTAAGTATATCTAGTTCTAGTCTCTTATCTTATAGTTCACGACAGTAGACGAATGGCAGATTCGATCCCACCTGTTGAGTTGCGGTCCGCACCCTGCCACTAGGCTACTGTCGCTCCTTTCTTAATATTTTTTATTTTATATTAGCGATGTAATAACTAGTTTCATTTCTTAGAAAGATTCAAATATATAAGACTTGATATGAAACAATACAGTCTTTGCTAGTTACATTGCAATTAGTTATAGCTATTATGCAATTGCAACAATGCAATTATTTTATAAAAATACAAACTTCTGACAAAATGAGTATTAATGACCATATTAATTTAAATCTTATGTACTAAGGTACAGGCCATATAAAACTGTAGGCTTATTTCTATCAGATAGGTCGGTTTATGATAAGATTTCCTGTAATATTACTGATTTGCCTTTGCATAAATTCAAGGCGCATGTAGACAGATTCTTCTGAAGGTAGGATATTATAAATTAGATAATTACATTTTTTTTTAATTATGTGTTGTAATTTGTAATTTGTTGGGCGTAACTAGTTTTCTTGTAACATTGTTTTTTATGTCGCTCTTTCTCACAAGTTCTTTCGCAAGGGATTTTTGATGCGATAGCGTAGTTGTTTTGACTCCAAAAAAGGTTAATTTTGAATTAAAATACTTTCACTTTCACTTTGAGTCACGATTTTCGACATAGTCATCATTTTTATCCTCAACCTAAAAACTGCTCTCTGCTGGCTGTCCACATTTGGCAGGTGATATCTATATAATACCATGTAGGACGTTACTCTTCAAAATATAGTGGACAAGGCAGTTTTCGGCTAACCGAAGTATAGATTAAAGAAAAGTAAAGTTACAGCCTGGACTTCCATTTGACACGATCCAGACAAACTTCTCTCGCTTCTTTCACATCAATATAACCAAATACGAATATAGTAGAAAATCATTACTTTTTACATATAACTATATTCTCAGAAAATATATATATTAACGTTGTATCAACTATAAGCTAACACCATTGTCAAAGGCCATTGCTTTTTTCAAACTTCTACTAGCATGATTACACCTGGGTATACAATGAAACATTTTTTCTGACTAATCTACACTTCTACATCTTTATTTATTTATTTATTTATTTAACAATTTATGTACACACAAAATAATGTTACAAGAGAGAAAAAAAAAAGATATTTTGTACAAAGGCACTGCTTATTTCATATTGAAATTTCTTCCAGCAGGCCTGATACTGGACAAATTAAAAGAGAAGCTGATCTAGTGTGCACTCTCATAATAAAATTTTATAATATTAATATACTTAACATAAAGTAAAGATAATAAAAACAAATATCCATGTAAACATACATATAACTAAATACCACTATAAATACATATACACACATACATATATAAAAATAATAATATATTATATATATATATATATATATATAATCATTGGGACGACAAAGAAAGATAGTGCTCTTTGACTCGCCTTTTGAACACGGACACCGATTGAGCCTCTCGAATTGCAGCAGGAAGAGAATTCCATAACCTAACTGCATGTACTGTAAAAGAGTGAGAATAGGACTTAGTTTTAGAGGAAGGGAAATTTAGGAGGGTTTTTAAATGTGATCTGCAAACTGCATCGGGGGAGTGTGCAAAGTGGAATCGATCACGTAGATAGGGTGGTGATGTTGGATTGTATAGTATGTTAAAGAGGAGGCATAGGATTCGGGTATTCCTGCGAAGTCGGATTGGGAGCCACTTGAGCTGTTTGCGATAGGAGGATGGTCATACTTTTTTAGTCCGAAAATATAACGAATACATAAGTTTTGCAAGCACTCAAGTTTGTTTAATTGCTCCTCAGTCGCATCCAAATAACAGACATCAGCATAGACAAGAATCGGGAAAATAAGTGTTTGGAGAAGAGAAACCTTCGTTGATAACGGCAGAAAATGTTGAAGGCATTTTAAGGAATGAAAAGTATAATAAATTTTCCTGCTAATTTCTGTGATATGTGCATTCCATGTCAACTTGCAATCCATGATGATGCCCAGATTCTTAACCGTTTCTGAAATGCTTAGTGGAATACCATTAATTTGCAGAGTTGGCAGTGAAGAAAAGTCAAGTAATTTACGAGTAAACCTGGTGCCTATAATCATTGCTTTTGATTTTTTAGGGTTATAACAAGTCCGTATGATCTAGACCACTCATCGATTTTATTTAGATCGTTATTTATTTCAAGTAATGCTGAATTTGCTTCAGTCACTAGAAAATGACGATACAGCTGCAAATCTTCTGCATAGAGATGGAAGTTTGAAGATATCACCTGGGTCTTATCTTTTTCTTTTTATATTTTTCTTTTACTATTATAAAGAGGAAAGATTTGTTTGTTTGTTTGTTTGAATTGAATAGGCTCCGAAACTACTGGACCGATTTGAAAAATTCTTTCATCATTGGAATCCTACATTATCCCTGATAAACATAGGCTATATAATATTTTCAAAAAAGTTAGGGATCCGTATGAAAAATTCGTTAATGTAACCCAAGGTGTGAAAAATACCAAAAAGAATCCTTATATCGCGTACGCTGCGGAAACTATTGATAATAGAGCAAAGTAATGTACTTCCGTTTTATAGAAGATATCAATATCTACAAAAAAGTCTGCTATACCATATGTTTAACTATTACAGTTATGTCACAATAACTACTTTTTCATGTTAAAATGTGAAATAGTAACGCCGGTACAAACTAGGCCACATTATTCGTATCAGTAGGTACCTGTATCATGCATAACCACCAATTACGTTAACCATGTAGTTTTAGTAACATATTTCACTTTTTAAATCTTTGTTAATTCAGCAACCGTCCATCGTGATGTCTCTCTCGAAGTTCGCATGTCGCAAGGCGTAGACGCGTGTTATACGCGGGTGAAACCGCGGGGCACAGCTAGTTATAATAATAATTAATCTGACTAGAACAAAAATCGACTAGAAACTTTGCAGGTAGGTTACCGTAAGCACTTATCTTTTTATTATCAAAGAATAAAGAAATATATTTAATATATCAAGTCGTTCAGAACACATTCTAAATACTCAAACTCGGTACCCACACAGGGTCAAATACCCTAAAATAAGTCGCCAGCGATTTAGCGTCGTAATAAGTAATTGCACCACGATTATTTCACGGACAATGATCTCACGCATCAACAAATTTCATAGAATCTTGCAAAGACATAATTACTTCCATTACAACCTGTAAATAATCCACGGGTGACAATGTGTCTCCGCCGCACTCTATGCAGATGATACAACAATTTATTTTCCTGATGGTAGCACCTTCAGAATCTGGATTCGACTCCAAGCTGCAGCAAACGCACTAGGCTATTGGTGCAGAAAATGGAGAATCGAATCAAATCTACATAAAAACAAAGCTGCACTTTTAACATGAAAGCTCGCTTTAAAATATACCCTGTAGACTAAAACGACACAGGAAAGGTACAATTTTGCTACACAATAGCCCAATCCCTCGGGTTAGAGCGGTGAAATACATCGCGGTAACGTAAAGATAATGCGATGAGTTTCACTCATCACTTTAAGGCTGTTAAAATATGGAGAAATTTGTACTATATCGCCTTTTCGGTCTAATCCCTAAACGCAGTAACTTGTCCTTAAGACATAAACTACATGGGTGTGTTCTTTCATACACCAAAATCCGTTGGTGGTGTCCCCAGAGAGGGATGCTGCTCCCACTCCACCCCCCATGAGACGTCCCGAGAACGTTCTTCGTGATTTCGATGATGAGATAACTTTGTGTGGGGCAACAGCATTGATCAAAATAAAGTCAAAAAAATTTGTCGCGCAAAAGAAAAATGCATTAGAGCGATATGTGGGCTAAAACCGAATGAATTGTGTCAACCGGTATTTTAAAAACTTGGCTTGTTACCACTACCATCACTTGATATCTATGAAGTATGCATGTTTGTACAGAAGCACAAAACGTTGTTTACAAAGGTGGTTGATGTAAGTCTCCGTATTCGCCTAGATCCATATAGGCGTGTACTAAAAATAATCCTAGAATAAGAAAATATAACAAGTGTTTATTTATGTGTGTACGCTTATATAATAAGATACATATTTACTTAAAAATATTAAATACCAGATTATTTTAATTAAAATTGTATCAGTGGTTAAATGATAGTAATTTCTATAGTATTAAGTGGTTTTTGTAGCCAAAAGTATTAATGTTAAAAAAATAATTTGCATGCTATGTATATATAACCGTCGCAAAACATGCCGATCTGTATCGTTCTGTAGAATCTTTTATATACCATGTTTTATGCAAATAAAATATTATTATTATTTCCAAAATTGGTTGATCCCTATATCTGTTTGTTGCCCCAAGGCTAAATAAATAATCATATAAGACGTAAAATATATGTCAACGACTGTGGCCTTCACACATTGAATAATGTTTTGTCAACCAATACTAACACTAAAATTATAACAAGCAATATTATACAATTCCTTAGTTAGGATCACGACGGCAACATAATTCACATGAACTCTCACGTCCGCGAGTCACTCCTAGGGGGGTTAGGAAGAGACTAGGGGCTTCGATTCGGCACGATCCTGACCTACCACCAAGAGACAAGAGACTTCTTTCACGTTACACACATACGCATACATGCTCGTCAGTTAAGGCTACTTTGGATGCATTATTAAGATTTACATGGATTTCATTCCTTCCTAATTCATTATTTTTACGTGTCCAAACCACCGAAGCATTCCTTTATTAATCCTAGTCAAAACATCGTCATGCAAACCACTTTTTCCTTATAACTAACACTTCATTTCTGAAGCATTAATTCTACTCTTTATTAACTTTCAATACCATCATACCAAAGATGTTTTATAGATCCATCATACATTAACGTAGCATTAGGCCGCGTTCCGACGACACGCACCCGCTACGCGCACGACACGCACGTCACCACCCGCGTCTAACTCGCTTTAAAATTTGTTGCATATAATTTGAGTCTTATGACAAATATATAAATCTGAAATTGCATTTATCGACGTTCAACCGCACACGCCACGCGTCCGCCTTGTTCCCGCTCTGCGCCGGCCCCGCGCTCGCTCCGCACACGCGCTACACTCGCCCCGCTACGCCTTGCGCCCGCGCTTTTTATACACTTTCAGAATTATTTATTTGTCATAAGACTCAAATTATATGCAACTAATTTCAAGCGAGTTATACGCGGGTGCTGATGCGCGTGGCGTGCGCGTAGCGGGTGCGTGTCGTCGGAACGCGGCCTGATAAATTACCATTCGTCCCTATTTTGACACATTCTGACTTCTCACAATACGCTACTAGGTAGATAGGTGTAGGGTTAGTAAGTGTAGGTGTACTCAATTAAAGGAATAGAATAAAATAATTATAATAAAAGAATTAGGTAGCCACGGTTAGATCGTGGCGTCTACCCATCACTTTTAAGGTGCTTCACTGATGGTAGTAGAAAGTAACCCAAAAAGGTACCGTCCCTGAGTGTAGTTAGCCAGCGTAAATGGTAGGACAAACGGACAACACTCATTGCAATATATAGCATATCTTTTAATTATAGTTCGCCTAGCCGCCCATTCGACGTCGGTAGAAGAGGTAACACCAAAAACATAAAAAGGTTAAACGACGTTCAGGATTGTCGGCTTCGCTGATAAAAGAATTGATATCTGAACACATACTAAGTGCTGTAACAGTTCCGTAAATCATAGCTATAGGAATGTACAACGTTCTTAATGTAAAACTATGGCATCGCCCTTTTCTTAGTAGAACTTGGCTGACACACTACCGAGTTTCTAGATTCGTTTGCAAAAGTTCCACAAGTAAAGAAACATGGTTTATGTTGTTATGATTAAAAATAATTCATGGGATAATAATACATGCAATTAAGAATCATCAAGGCGACAATTGTAGCATTTTTTGAGAATTTGTCTCGATTCGAAACTTAAAAATGGGTGCTTTAAGAAATTCTATCTGGACAATACTAGATATTTAAATAAACACACATCGTGGGATCCAGCAATTTAAGGATGTGTACAGTTTCTAACCTCGAATAACATGTAATGCCTATGTACATTCACTCATTTAGGGAATAACCTGTGATCACAAGTAAAGAGGCAAAAAGCTCTTATAGAAAAGCAACTTCTGCAATTACAACATTAACTCATTTATTAACTAAAGTTTTAAAAGCGATTACAGATCATATTGACCGCAGAATATTGGTCTTGATAAAGCGAAACAGCTGATTGTACAAAATAAAAAATAAATAAAGCCGTTTGTAAATTATTACTATTTATTTTTTAAGGTTTTAAAATAAAATTATCACCTAAAATATTTAACAAAACAATTTATAACATAATATTATAAACTAGATATTAATTAACATTGCCATTACTTATTATTAATAATTGATCTTAAGTACTTTCTGAAACATAAGTACACAAAATACATATTGCAACGGCACGGTACGGAACGGTATGTATAGGTGAATTGTGAACATCAAAAAATAGAATGAACTTGAACCACAACAAAGTTAAATAAAAATTTATTGTACTGTGATGATAGTCTAGTATATATACAATTTCTGTAGTAAAGTGATATTTTTATATTATTATCTAATTGATTGATTGATCTTATTGATTCAAGCACCATAATATTGTTTTTTTTTATGTTAGCTTTGCGCTTCTTAATTTTATGTCAATGATAATATATAAATCAATATTTAATTATGTAATACAATTCAAAAACAGTCAATGTCAATTATTTAATAGCCTAACAAGGACCGTAAGCCTGTACAGTCAGATGCGTGCCGGAGCACCGCATTAGGCATTCATTTCCGAAGGTGACGCCGTTAGAAGCACACACGGGTGTGTAATTCCTTGTACACGTGCATGCGGGATTGTTTTCAGCGTGATTGACGACCTTGACGACATCATCGCAAGGTCCATCGTGTTGCACATACAGGCTCGGGTTGGCTTCCGATGCGCAGTTTAAGAGGCACGCGTTATCGTAGGTGTTTCCATCGTTCCCGCACACATATTTCGTCACCCTGGGACAAGTGCAGCGCGAGAGGCTTGCGACTTTCACTTGTCTTTTGGCGCGGCACTCGCCATTATACTCGACGCGAAGGCTTGGCTCGGTTGCCTGCTTGCAATTAAACTCACATTCGTTGGAATAGGTCTGCCCATCTGTACCGCACACCGGATTGTTCTCGAAGGTGCAGAAGCAGCTAGGCGCCTCCCTCTTGCACCTGCCCTCACCCTGCATGGTTATATGAGGGTTTATGGCTCGGGCGCAGTTCAACATGCACACGCTACTGTATGTCTGTCCATCAGAGCCACATACGGGCTTCTGGTCGTGTGTCGCACTACAGACGCATGGAGGCAGTGCTGTGGTTACTGTGAGGTAGCACCCAAGCACGAACAACACACCTGTGGGGTTTAAAGCACATTAAATTCAACTCACTAACATACACTAAAAATTTATTTATTTATTAACATTTTTATTTATATTATTATAATATTTTTATACACGTAAGGGCGACAAACAAGCACACACTACCCGATTACAAAATAAAGAGATTTATATCTATATATATATATATATGACATATACGTAAGACCTATGTACTTATGATAAGTTAGGATATGATAAGATATAATATTTTATGTGTCGTCGTCGTGTGTCGAAAAACATGATTTTTGAAGACCGATTTTGAATTAAAAAAAAACAACGCCTTGAAAAGTCTATTTACACCGACTTGTAAAAGTTATTATATACATAATTGTTTCTTTTTTACTCTTTGTCAAAATACTGGGTCGGGGAAAACATTGAAAACTTTTTTGTATAAAACTGAAGAAAAATCTCTTTGGTTGTACTGTTTTTTTTGGCTGGTTTTAATATCTATACATATAATGACTAATGACATTAAGAAAATGAAAAATAAAAAGTAAAGAAACCCTTTCCCGCCATTTTTCAACTGTTTTTTTTTTCTGCCAAAATGAGTGAATTTAACGAAGAAATTCGATACACTCTGAAGTTTCAAAAGATAAACACTGGTGATGAAAAGTGGATCACCTATAACAAGAACGTGCGAAAAAGATCATGGTCAAAGGGTAGTCAAGCTCCACAGACTGTAGTGAAACCCGGATTAACACGCACAATAAGGTGATGCTGTGTGTACGGTGGGATTGGAAGGGCATCGTTTATTATGAGATTTTACTGCCAACAACTAACGAGCCTCAAGCAAGAAATTGAGAAAAACGGTTGGAATTGATCGACAGAAAAGGAGTGGTCTTTCATCATGATAACGCCAAACCACACACCTCTTTGGCCACTCAGCAAAAATTGAGAGAGCTTGGTTGGGAAGTGTTAATACATCCACTATATTATAGTCCTGACCTTGCATCCTCATATTTTATCCCGTTTCGGTCTCTTCAGAATTCTTTGGATAGTGTTAGGTTAACAACCAGAGAAGACTATCAAAACTACTTGGCGCATTTTTTTAATCATAAATCCCAAGATTTCTACAGCAACGGGATTATGTCACCCACAAGGTGACAACACGTTATCGAACAAAATGGCATATATATATATATATATTATAATTAAATGTAATTAAACTTTGAAAAGAAGATGTATTGAATTTGTATATAAAATATGAAGAAACTTTTCCCCGGTCTTTTATTTGTTTACTTGTCAGAGTCTACGATCGTGAGTGATATTAAGATTTTTAGTTGTATTAAAGCTCTTTTAATTCATTGTTTTAAATATAGACTTTTTACACTTTTACGTGAATGATTTGTATCTAATAAAATAAATTTTATCACATATTTATAAAAAATACCCAGATTTGTATCATTTATTTAAATTTATTAAATCATTATATCAAGTTATTTAACTAAAAATAAGTCAACGTCAATTGAAGAAAAGAAAAAACAATACAAAGAAATAAGTCCACTTGTCCAATCAGCCTATTGGTATATTTTTTTTATAAAATTGAAGTGATAAACAAACTTACATTCCGTCTAATAACTAAGTGGCTACTACATCTACATATATCCTCGATTACGAATCAAAATACAGATGCGTTGTCATCCATGAGGACTAAGATGGTATGCCTCGTTTCCAGTAAAAATGGTCTCCCGTTCTCTACACTCACCATACGAAACATAGCAGCATTAAGCTGCTATTTTACGCTGGTGTTCTGTGAGCGCGTGATCCTTCCCCGGTCGAGCCGACCCATTCGTGCTACAACTATACCAGTAATATAGCTGGAGCATGGCTCTACCACATAAAGAATGTGTAATTATTTTATTCTTTTTAATTCTTAGAAGTCGGCTTTTACTTTTTTTTTAAAGTTATTTTTTTTTTACTCTAGTCGGCTAAACATATGAAACTAACTAACAACCAACTTTTTCAAACACTGCAAATTCAAATTTACTGGTTGTGGTTGTGTATTGTGTAACCCAATAATATAAAAAAAACCCATTCTGAAGTCGGGGCATTAATTCTTCTATACACTATGACTTATCGCCGAATTTAGACCGTGAAATTATTTTATTATTTTAATTCTTAGAAGTCGGCTTTTAATTTTTGTTAAGTTTTTTTTTAAGAAAATAATTTTATAATTAAAATGATTATTTAACTAAAAAACTTCATTACACTATACTTAATTAAATTTCCATAGGAAGAAATATATATATATATTTTTGAGAACTCAAAATGTTTTTTTTAATTGGATTAGAGCACTGAGTACTTTTTACAAAGTATAGACGACAGTAACAGTGGTAGAGCCACGCGGCAGCTTTTGCTGTCTCACGGACGGGCCGGCTCGAACCGGGGTAGTACCACGACCTCACAGAAAACCAGCGTGAAGTAGAGGTTTACCTCTGCGTTTCGCTTGGTGAGTGCAGGTGGCCGGAGGCCTTTTTTACTGGAAATGAGGTATTCCATCTTAGTCCTCACGGGTGACAACGCATCTACATTTTGATTTGTAACATAGGATAGATGTAGATGTCTATGGGCCGCAGCAACCACTTACCATCAGGTGGACTGTGTGCTCGTTTGTCATCCTTATCCTATAAAAAAAAAACGACACAACTCAAAAATCGTCGGCCCGAATCCAGCAATCCGACATCCGACTACCATCGCGAACCACTTTCACAGATACGTCACTTCCTCATTTCTTTCACATGGGAAAATTCCCTAATAGTCCTGTCAGTAAACCTGTCTGTCGCGGGGGCGAAATGACTCCCTCCTAGCTAAGCATTTTAAGCTTATAGTCACAGAGTACATGTTCAAGTCTTGGAGTGGCTAAAGCAGGTACATTTAGTGTTTTAAGACTGCAACCGTCTTTGTAAACAGATTTGTAGCCTAGGTTTTTTACGATAATCGGAATTTATTACCTCGATTTTTATCTCGTGATTTTCATTAATTCACGTGATAGCCCGACACGCGTTGCAATACCTTTTATATTAGAAATATTCGCCTTTGCCGTTAACAAATCATAATTATTGATAGTATTTTAATTCAAATAGGTTAATAGCTAAATTATATTTTCATTCACTTATCACTCAATACAGTCTATCAAAGTTCACTGCTGAACGTAGGTCTCGTCCATAAATTGCCTCATAGGAGAGATATTGGCCATAGGTGCCAACGTCTTAATTTACGCATTATTATTTAATGAAAGTTCTTTAAAAATAAACGTTTTAACTTATATCACTAAACTAAAACTACGCAGATATTCAAAATTTGTAGAAAAAGCAACTCACCGATTTGATAAATCATCTTATCAGTTCTCTATAAGATTTATCACTTATATTGATATTATTTATCCGACGTTGGTGCTTTGTGCGTCGCTTTGTTATTGACAATGATTTTTCACGTCGCCCACACATATTTATATGCATAACAAATGTTTCTCACACGTCGGAAACTCGGACGTCTTCTGTTAGCACAGTAAATCCCCGTTGACGTGCTTGACTATAGTGCAAACAGATGCCGACTCTTCAAGGAACACGAAATGAGCTAACACAATTTGACATTGCCTTCAGCAAATTCCAATTTTAAATAGTCTATTCAATGTCGACTACACCTTATTAATATTTTAAAAAAGATTTTTCGATAATTGCCCTATGTAAAAATACATATTTTACATAGGGCACACCCAAGGGGCACACTCAAAGTTCTGCGGAGGAGTTTTGGCGGGAACTTGATCAGCGGCGGTTTGCTGCTCCTGTATTATTGTTTAAATAATGGTTTGAAGTGGACTTTGATATGTAAAAGTGGTGCGATTTTGTGTATTAATTGTCTACGCATGTGAACTATTAGTGGAAACAGTGAAACAAGTGCTCTGATGGTGATGGATTCTCAAGATAAGCTGTTTGTTTGCATAGGCGCCTTGAGATACCATCGCCAACTATCAGCTGTCTGCTGGCTCAAGTTGCCGTCAAAATCTCTCAAGGGCTGCACAATGTGACGCATCAACATATTGTGAAGCAGTGAACTATGAAGGATAATTATTTATAATAAACCGAATAAAAATACTCAAGACTTGGCCTAAAGGTCTAGATACCAGGCCATAAACTCCTATAAAAAAAATCAAAGTTCTGCGCTCCTGGCTGCTCATAAATGTCTCACGAATTTCGAATGATTTATTTTTTGAACATAAGAAAAGAAACTCATACCTATATTGATTAAAATAACTTTTTGCGAGAATTCGCAAGTCAATTTTTTTTTCTATTGTAGTTCGTCATCCGTAGCAAAAATGGAATTACCTAACGCGAAAAGGTTAAGGGCGATGATTTTTTATGATTTTAAAAGTTCATTCTCTCCGCAAGATTGCACTACTTATCTTCAAAATACTTTTGGGAGGGAAGCACCTCATTTAAGCACTATATGACGTTGGTATGTAAAATATGTTCGTGGCCACGTTTCTCTTCATGATGAAATTCGTGCAAGTTGACCCTACGATCACTCAGGAAAATGTGGCTTTTGTCAGGCGACTAATTGAAGAAAATCGGCGCATCACCGTGAGGAGATTCGAGGACATTTTGGTATTGGTATGAGCCAAATTCAAAAAAAGAAAATTACATGGTTACATGGTGTTTACGTGGTAGAGTCATGCTGCAGCTATATTACTGGTATAGTTGTAGCACGAATGGGTCGGATCGCTGCTGAAGAACATACCTATAATATACATAGCCTGTGCAGACGGGGATGATTTTGTGAGATTCTCAACCACTTAACCTATAAGCGTAAAATAGATACTTAATGCAGCCGTGCTTCGTATGGTGAGTGCAGAGAACCGGAGACCCTTTTAACTGGAAACGAGGCATTCCATCTTAGTCCTCACGGGTGACAACGTATCTGCATTTTGATTCGTAATCGAGGATAGATGTAGATGTCTATGGGCCACAGCAACCACTTACGATTAGGTGAACTGTGTGTCACCCTTATCCTATAAAAAAACATGTTTTACAAACATTACTTAGACTAGGAACAAACTCGGACGGATCCGTAACAATTATTTGTACTTACTTATTCAGGGCGGGAATCGAACTAATGGCACTGCACATTTTACTGTGCCGTTAAAAACGATATGAAATTGTTTAAATAATTGACAATGATATCTTCTTATAGTATAATTACAGTTATAGTTACAGCCTATATATGTCCTACTGTTGCTAGGCATAGGCGGGCTCATTTCTGAGATGGTAATGGAGCGACTAAATCACCACGCTCCGCTGCTCCAGTGCGTGTGGCGGACTTCTGATGTCGACGAAATCAGAAGACCGCCGTGCACGTCTCACGTTTCCGAGCACGTGGTACAATTTGCAATTTCATTGGTGACGGCGAGGATCGAACCCGGGTTGCGCTAGCCCATGCCATACAAGGCTCCATCTGATGATTTCCTCTTACTTCCTACTATTATAAAAAAGTTTTTTCAACTTCAAAAGGTACTACAGCATAGTTAAACGCAGCTCTAATTTCTTTCCTGAGAGGTTTTTAGGGAAGAGTCCGTTGGCAGTTATTTGTCTTTAAATTCAAATATGGTATGATTTAGAATTTCGCAGTTTTGCTAACAATTCATTTTCAGTTTTGTTCACAATTCCTTTACAGTCGAGCAGGTGGTAAATTACCATAGGTCTATGACAGAGGCGCCGACAAGGATCGAAATCGGTTTGCTCGGATATTATGAATATTTAAGGTGAGCGCTTATCCATAATCGGCTCTTACGATCTATGGGACGAAATGTGGTGACAGATTCCCTTACGCGCATATTTCGGCATTAGCTGCTTCTGGCGAAAGAAACCCATGGTGGGCCCCTGACATAACCAGACACGGTAGCCAAAACAACAAAATATTAAAAAAAATCCCAAACAATAAACCAGAAATACAACAATAACAAACATTGTTATGTCTTGTAGTTTTTACCAACACTCACGCTGTACAGAAGTAAATTGTGTAACGTAATTTTTATAAGTTACAAGAAATATATTTTAGCTTAAAGCAATAAAATGTCGTATTGATTTTGTAAAAACAGTGGGTATGTCTTGACTAAAATCTTTTTATGACCATGTTTTTATAGACTAAATCGTTATTCTTATTATGTCATACAGGCATTTGTTAATTATAATTATGACTTCATCCTATCCTTAGACTGAGACTAAACAATAATTTGGTCTGATAGGAGTTTCTAAGTGACTACTTAATTAATTATGCAATTCACAGAAACCTTGCTCTTATAGCATACTAGCATTAAATAAGAGGAGACCATGATTCTTGGGTCGAGTTTTTTTTTTTTTTTTTTTTTTTTTGCGCCCGAAGCAATTGGAAAAGGGCTACCCCGAAGGGAGGCAGAAAATGCATTACGCATACCATGATGGCCGGTCCATCGTGGTTATGAGGGACTCACTACCTACAAGGGGGAACCTAAGTGATACCCTCTAAAAACTGCCTTTGGGGACTGGCAACCAGCTGTTGAAAGCTTCACATGCCGTATCGTAAAGCGACCCTCTTTTGGGAAAAGAGGGCGCAGGCGGCTATAAGCCGCTGAGGGAGTGCCTGGGAAGGCAAATTAATTATGAATAACTTAATTAGAGTTGGCCTGAGCCGCCAGGAGGCAGTTCAGGTCGTTTGAAAGTTTATTAGGCGGGTCCGAGAGGGAGTTCCTCGGCCTGCGGACGCTATAGCGGGAGGGGAGTGGGGCTGCATAATTAGCAGCCTCACGAATAAAATGATTGGAATGCGACTCTGAGGCTTTGAAGAAGTTCTCAGAGAGTTTTTTAAGGAATTGTTGAATTGTAGGGAGCTCTAGGTCCCGATGAAGGTCGGCATTGCGGACGTACCAAGGTGCGTTCGCAGCTCGACGACAGAAAAGGTTTTGAACTACTTGGAGTTCATTAATAATTTTAGGGTTAGAGTGGGCGAAAATGGGGCCCGCGTAGGACATGACTGGTCGTATACAGACCTTATAAAGGGTACGCTTGTTTCTGAGGGACATTTTACTGTGTCGGCCCAACATACTGTTGAGCCTATTCAGGTAAAAACGTGCGTGACGGGTTACTCTTTTGACGTGGGGCCTGAAAGTTAGCCCTGTGTCTAGAGTGACACCTAAATATTTGGCAGACGTATGCCAGGGGACAGGGGTCCCTAGCATACGTATTGGTGGAGTGTTTTTGAGACGGCGTCGTTTATAATCGAAGTGAACGGCGGAGCTCTTCTCCGGGTTCACATCGATGCGCCATTTTTTGAACCAAGCTCCTAGGTCATCAACTGACTTTTGGACCTTGTTCCGTATGAAAGGTAGCGAGATACCTTTGCAGTAGAGAGCAGTGTCGTCTGCGAAGAGGGAGAGCTGAACACCTTTCGGCGGAATGGGAATGTCGTTGGTGAACAGTATGTACAGCAGAGGAGCAAGAACTGAGCCCTGAGGGACACCAGCTTTGATGGGGCGCTGTGAAGATAGCGTGCCTTCGTGTCTAAAACGAAAGGTACGATGATTAAGATAAGAGGCCACGAGACGTACTAGACGATCGGGGAGACCTATTTTGTATAGTTTGTAGATAAGGCCTGTATGCCAGACTCTATCGAAGGCTTTGGCGATGTCGAAAAAGACCGCGATAGTCTTATGACGACGGGGATAAAAACCGCTGAGGATATATTCCACAATACGGTGAACTTGTTGGGGGCAGGAGTGTTTCGCTCGGAAACCGAATTGATGGGGAATGATAAGAGGGTCACCGTCTGTGGGAAACAGATGGCGCCTCATGCGATTTTGAATGACTCTTTCAAAGAGCTTGCCCATGGCCTTGAGGAGGCTAATGGGACGATGACTGGAGGGGAGATTAAGAGGCTTGCCTGGCTTGGGAATACCAATCACAGTTGCCTCTTTCCACGTAGTGGGAAAGTAACTAAGGTTGAAGCAGGCATTGAAGATAATAGATAAAAGGGTTAGCACCTGCTCAGGAAAGTTTTTTAGGGCTTGGTTGGAGATGCCATCCGCGCCCGGAGCTTTTTTAGGCTTAAGTCCTTTGATGAGGGATGAAAGCTCATCATTGGACACAGAGATAGGTTCGGAGGCTGTAGGGGGCGAGTTCCGGCGGCGGACCTCATCCTCCACTGCCTGGACGTGTGAGGGGTCTACGGGTTGAGAGCTAGGAGAGCATTGAGCGGCAATGCTGTCTGCAAAGCACTCAGCCTTTTCCTCGTCCTCGAAGGCTACCGTACCGTCGGGACGGGAGAGAGGGGGAGTGTGGAAGATAGCGTCTATGCGGAGGGCTCTTGCCATCTGATAGTACGCTGTATGAGAGGGAGAGATATTCTCCATGAGCTTACTCTTTTCGAGGTCTCGAAATTCAGAGAGGCGGGAA